GTTCTCTTCCAGACACAGAAATCAGTTTTCTACCTGCCCATTCTAATTATTAATCCTCTGATACACAAAAGCATGTATTTTCCAGAAGAAATTCTTGGTAGGAAATTTCAGCATCCTTGCACTCAGTGGGCTCATCACCACCCTTGAATCTTGAATACTTTTGCTCCTGGAACTGGCAAGCATTGCTGCCAACCTCTTGTGCTGCTTTACATTATGCACACATACACAGTGTGGCAGGCTGCAAAGGGGGTAGCATTGGGGGCAATGGTGAAAATTCAGTGGCTGATTTTTCTCCCTTTACCTCCAAAATGGCTGAATATCACAGACACAGAGCAGTCTTGGGCATACATCTTATGTGGAAACAGCAAAAATGGCTGGGAAATTTCTCATCCTACTGCAAAAGCTTAGACTTTCTGATGGAGGAAAGGCCTTCAAAAATTGAAAAACAAAAAAGCTAACATGGCTCTTCAATTGATCTTCCAAGTGCAAAATATGTTCTGTGTTTGTCCTTGACTCCATATTTATGAATTGCTTTTAGTACTTGAAGAAGACTAGTATCACCCATTTCTTGTTGTTTATGCTGAGTGATAAAAACACTCAAACAAAATTCTTTTAGAAGTGTTACTTGTTTTGAAACACCTCTTGGTGTAGGGTAGAATGCTGACATTTCAAATATGGATCAGTGGAGTTCTTTCAGAAATGTAAAAATATTATTCTCCCTTTGAAAATGTAGCAGATATATTGTGTTGTTTTTGATTACTTCGTACTCCTAGATAAGCAGTTTCAAAACCCTTAATATATGTGGCAGATGCAGTATTAAGGATCTTTCAATAAACCCAAAGAAAGGTATGGTTGTAGACAAAACCTGAAAACATTTGCAGCTAGATCATCTGTATTTTAAATGCATTTTCAAAAATCTTTCTTTAATAATCTTACAATGAAAGACACACTACAATATTATGCTAAATCACTTCAGACTATTAGAACAATGTTTTAAACTCAAGGCATCAAAATAAAAACACCTGAAAATTGAATTGGGTAGTTACCAAAAGAAAATAAACAATATGTTTAGATAATAAATGAAGAAATTTGTGATAAATTCCAGAGCCAAGTTCATAAATGAGAACTGCTTTCAAAGTTATTAAAATATTTTGGTTTTAAACTTGGTTTTTATGTAAATATTACATCTTTTAGCATTTAAGCTATGCTTTTCTGTTATTACTTGATATACAAAAGGTTTTGATTACAAAGAAACAATCACTTGACATTAGACTTTTGATCTGTTGCCAACAAAGTATGCAAAGAATCTTTTTAATGTCATCCTACAATTTAAGAATGGCATTTGTAATAACTTTGAGTGCCATGACAAAGTGAAATGATAATTCATATTATTATATTCGAATCCTAGGAAAAGAGGTTTGTTTTCATTATGGTTTGAGAGTTTTTCACTACCTTTCTCAGAGGGTGTGAGATCCATTATTTTGGTGGAGGTAAGAAAATGAGGATTGTAAATGTGTATTAAAAGAATTACTGATAGTAAACATTGTAGGTTTTTAGGAAAACTGTGGGTTAGGGGTGGGTGCATGAGGGTTTTTGTTTATTTTGTGAGGATTTTAATCCCCATGATCAAGACAAGTTTTCTACATAAGATTTAATTTCCAAATGAATCATAGAGGGAAATTAAGATGTAATAAAACTGTCCCATTTTTGGTCATTTGTGCAGTTTTGCTAACTTATATAAGTCTTGCTATCTTATATAAATTACTCTTATATAAACTGATCTTACATAACTTTTTTTACTTTTCATGATTTACATACTGAGTGAAAAAATTGGTCCTAACTCCTCCACAGCTTTTGGTACTCTCCCCACAATTCTTGGGACTTTTTTTTTGTAGCCAAGGAACTGATCTTTACTATTATTTTCTGGTAAATCAGTGGTTTTACATGCAAATATATATTCTATGTTATCTCCAGTAATAATTTTTCAAGTCATAGTTGTAGTTTTCTCGCATATTTCAGTCCTGTGAAATGAGCAGAGAAGCAAGTTGGCCACAGCATTCTTTCCCACCAGCTTTCTCACAGGCAGAGAAATGGACTAAGATTACTGCAAAACTTCAATCATAACCATTTTAGCTGCTATTAAATTTCTTTTGTTTCTGAAAGGATGTTGTGTTTAGATTCCTTTGTTGAGTGCCACTGCAGCTGATCTGCTAGGGCACTAGTGCATGTTCATCTGCAAACTGAGTAATTGTGGAAAACAGAGGCTGGAAATGTTTGTAAAACCTTTATGCACTTTGAAGGGGGATACCCAACTCGTGGATAGACGTTAAGTCCACTTTACTCAAGTTCAGTGTGTATTCTTCTCAGTAATTTGAAAAATACAGTATTTGGAACTGTAATTTATATAAGAAGAGACCATCTTTCAAAAACATTCTGCGTATTTTCTCTGGCAAAAAAATTACAATTTGTTCCCACAAACAAATTCTTGTATGGAATTTTACCCTGTTGTTTAAAATTATCTAAATAATAAATACAAGTGATGGACCACTAAACTACAATGTAAACAAAAAAACAAAAAAGAATGTTTTTAGATAATTTTTACCTTAAAAAGACCATGTAAATAGAAATCTAGTTTGGACAGGCATATCTTCTGTACATGGATACTGGCTCTCAGAGGGCACAAAGAAAATTTCTCTCCACCAATCTGTTGGGTTAAATTCAAACCAAGCACTAAAAATGTTCATTTCTTCATGCGAACCGACGATCAAACCACTGAACTGAAGAAAAACTGAGTGATGCAGAAAAGATGGAATTTGTCCTGGAGATGAGGTTTAAGACCAAGGTCTTAATATATACACAGAATGTCTTCAAAGTATATAGCTAATTTATGTTATAACCCCCTTTCCAGTTCCAGTCTGGGGCAAGCTACATCAATTTCCCAAGCAGAATATAAAAACACTGGAAGTTTTCATCATTGTCTGCTGGAGATTCATGCAAGAGATGGATCAGCACCACACAAAAATCACTGTGACAATGAGGGAGTGTGAGAAATCAGTGGCAAGGATGAGGATGTGACCTTCCCCTCTCTAAATATGCTGGCATTAGAGATTACCTCTGTGTGGTACAGAAAATGGCCAGAAAAAAGGTCCAAACCAAGGTCACAAAATCTCAAGGCTGCAAAGGCTTTCCTTACACAGAGTTGCCAGGGCGGCATCCCACTTGGAGGGCAAAACCAGCTGGTCACAGCACCCCATTAATAAAAATATCATCATAATTTTTAATACATTTAAAGGAAATAAAAATGCCAGGGGTGCCTATTATGGGCCCAGAAATAAATCAATCTTTTTGCCCCTTTGCTTCAGAAGTAGCCTTAGTGCAGAAACGTGATTAATCTCTACTTAATGGCTACATAAGAGGTGTTTGCCAGAGCACAGGACATACCTTGTTTTAATGAGCCCATCTGGTGAAATGTCTGTAGGGTTACTTCAAATCAAAGCTTGTACTTTGACTTGGCATAGGTGATAGGTCGAGAAAGTATAACACACCTTCTTCCAGCACAAAGACAAATCCAGTATCACCTCAGCAGCCTGTGCCTTTAAGAAGGATTCTTTTCCTAACCATCTCTGTTTACTTAGTCAATAGTTCATGTGTCTCCTTTGGGATCCCCTTTCCTTTAAACATCTCTCTCCAGGAGATAAACTCAATATGTCTTCATGAAAGCACAGGCACATTCTGTGTTCTTTCTAATTTCAGTATTTTTTTTCCCTAAAAATTGATTAATGAAACAACCAAAAAAAAAAAGTAACACACTGACATGGTTTTCCTATTGCTAGGACATACAAAAAAAAAAAAATAAAAGAGGCAAAATCTGAACTCAGCAGCTTGAGTGCCTCTCCTACATTAATTGTTTTTATTTCCATTGCTATTTGAGAGGACAGTGCAGATAAATTCAAAGGAAATATAGGGCTGAAACTGACATTAGTCTTGTCTTTACTTGTTTTAATATCTGTAGTCATTGCTGTTGTGTACAGCTATCCATTACTCCTCTGAAACAATCCAAATCATCAATTCATCAAATTATTTTGATAGTTCTTTTATTAGGAAAGAAATTCTTGATGAAAACCAAAGGGGCAATAATGTATGTCTACTGGCTGCAGTGCTGCCTGAAAATTTCTACCTGTGCATCCCACTGTTGCTTCAGCTGCGCAAGGTGGAGGCTGAACTGGTTCCTACACAGAGCTGAGCACCTCTGCCAGGTGCTGCATTACACCCCATGGATGTGACAGCTCAGTGGCTCAGCTGGTGTGTCATCACTTCACTCTGGTTTGTGGTGGGGACATGTCCAGAGTATTTTAGGCATTTTAGGATCCTGTATCAGTCAGAGAAAGGCTCTGAATCCACATCCCTCCTATCAGACACTGCCAATAGCGTGCAGCTTTATCTCCAATTAGCCATTAAAATAATTAATTTATTAAATACTTTATACTAAAATCACACTAAATGTAGTACTACAAAATATTTTACATGCTACTCTACTACGAACTGCTACTATGTAGGAAAACAATTCATATTCTATGAAGATTTCTTAAGTATTCACAAATACAGTTCTTACTTATGTTGTCCCATAAATTATAAAGAACATAATTCACAGTATCTCTGCTACACATTTGATTACTGTGTTAAGCATATAGTAAAACTTCAGAAAGCTATGAAAGCACCATTAATCATGAAGTGCTAGCCCAAATGTTAGCTTAGCTTCTCTTTCCAACACCAGTAAGCCAGCGTGATTCAGAAAGGAATGCAGCATTGTTTAAAATCTGAGGAGCCATTGGCGTAAAACAATGACCACTTTAAAAACAAATTTGAGTTTGAAATATTAGTCACCTTCTTTATTGAGAATATTTCTTGCTTAAAGTGTAACAGTGGGTATATGCCCCTGAAAAAAATATGCTTTCATTATTACACCAAAATGATGTTCTTCTTGAGTCACAATCTTCACAGAGATCCCCCATCAGTTCTTGCCTCCCAATGACAGTGGAACTATTTAATTATCACCAAAGCTTTCCAAGGCCTGAAAAAGAAGTAGAATACTATACTTCATAGGTTTTGTAAATCCTTCAAATAACTTTACTTTCAGGAATACACAAATCTGTAATTTAACATTTTTTAAACCCGTGTCTATGTATGTGTTTACCAGAAAAGATGTTGTTCGACGCCTGCTACCAAATGAAAAGTTAACCTTTCATGAAATCAGAAATAGCTTGTAAAAACAAAGGAAAAACCCAGCCTGAACTAACCTGCAAAACCAGCACCTAAACCTAGCAAATTCCCTGTATATCTGCATTATTCATTTCAGGGGAGTAAACACTAGCACAGGTTTAAGGCATTGACCCGTGCAATGGCAGCATGAGCAGAGAGATCCCTGAAAGGACCAATGCAGGCTCTCATGCCCCAGAGACACATCTAGGGGATGTCAATTCTGGCTCTCCCTGAGCCTTCTGCAGGATTTAAGCAAAAAGCCACACAAGGCCACAACTGTCTGACTTTATTAAAACACTGTAAGAACAGAAAGAATAAGTCAGTGACCCTTTACTTGGCAATGAATTAAAAAATTAATGAGTGACTGGGTATGTGTAGTGGCTTCATTCTGTTGGCTGCTGACTCCTTGATAAGAGACCAAATTCAAAAAGGAAGATTTTCTAATATCCTTGTCCCTTCTTCTGACAGAGAAGATGCAATACCTTTTCCAGTGTAAGAATCCAAGCTGCTGTATTCCTGCTGTCAGACTCCATGAAAGAATCTCTGCAAGTCAGCATAATGGCTGTGAATGGGAAAATGAGAAGACAGCAGTTTCAGAAAAATCTGCAGTTATTCAGTCAGGGTTTAAATGGTTGTACTGACCTAAACCAAAAAGACATTATGCAGTATAGGACAGAACAAAGGACTAATTCTACGGTTTTAGGGTTTTATATTTAAAACCAAAGCAAATTTAATTCATTTGAGAATTATCAAAGTCACAGCAGCCACTGTTAGGACCTTGAGGGATGGCTTCTACCTTCCCTTCTCATAACATTTATAAACACCCCTTTTGTTTTTACAAACAATCCTGCCTCATTCTCATTTCCTTTCATTGCACTGGTATTGACTGCCATTGGTACTAATTATTCTTTCTAGTTCTTTCTACTACCTTATTTCAGGGAGCTAAATGTTTGCTGTAATGGAAGTTGGTTAAATGGGCTCTCTTCATAGATGGGAGAGAAGATTGCAAGATTTTTAGGGCAAGAATTATTCTTTTTCTATCTGAATTGTTCCCAAGTGTAGCTAGCCTTTGTTTTTCTGACCAAAGACTTATAATCACTGCTGTAATAGAAACACAAAGCCTACATTCCATTGCCAGTGCCTGATTTAATGCAGCTAACATGGTGCAGAGGGAATTCTAAGTCCCAAGTTGGGACGGCAAGAGATGCTGTGTTGGTACTGTAATAATTACAACAACAAATTTTATTGTGTAGCCTTCCTCAGCAGTTGTGACTAAAATCTTAGGAAAAAAGTGTTATGTTTTGTTGGCTTTACTACTATGAAATTTAATATAAGAATAATTTAGTTCATATTGCTGCTATGACTTATGTTTTACAATATTAACCAATTCTCTCAACATTACAAAATAAATGCTTACATGTAAAATTGGTAAATGTATTATATTTTACATTTGGCCTCAGAGCACAGTAAACATGTCAAACCTAACAAATCCCAGTGCCTTCCTTGCTAAAAACCACATAACCTAAAAACCATATTTTATTTTGATGAGTAGTTATGTTCAGATTTTTAAAAGTAAGCAGTGATAGAAATAATTCCCGAGGAGGCAAGATGACAAACAGGGTTAGAGGAACACCACATCAATCTTAATCACTGCACAGAAAAATTTATTTCGTCTGACCTGTATAATAGTTATGGAAATAACAGACTCCCCATACTTTTATCTCCAGCCACTTATTCATGAATATAAGAAAATGTGCTTGTATGCATACGTGCATATATCTCTACATTGCCAATGCAGCCAGCATTTTACACACTGCACTGGAGAGAGTATTTCCATAAGTGCACTGCCCAGTGAACACAATCATAGAAATTATTTGCTGCAGGGGGAGAGGGGCGAGAGTGAAAGAAGGCACAGTGTGTAGGTTTGAGCCTCCAGCTGGAAATTCAGGTATCACAGCTCTATCTGCAGTCATGTATCCCTCTCATTAGCAGGGGATAAACTGGGCCACATGTCACAGAGGATTAAGTACAGGCCGCGGCACAAAAGAGCAGCTGGAAAACAAAAGAAAACAGCTTGGTCCCCATTTGTTCTGACAGAAATAGCTTTTTTGGGGCGCTATGCTTAACATGGAGCCTTTGAAAAATATCTGTAGCCACTGGCAACTGGGGTGAAAGTCAGTTTTTCCTGAATTTCCATCTGCCGTCCCAGCAGGTCCCAACAGGCACACAAGGGTGCTTGTGTGGGGGAGGAAGGAGGTGTTCAAAAAAGGAGGCTAAAACACTCATGAACCATGGCTGCACCACTAGCATCAGTAGCTGGGTTGGAATTCGACATCTGGCTGCCCCTCAAGCAGAGGGTGCCCCGGGCCCTGCACCAAGCCCTCAGAGGGGACAGGATGGCCACAGCGGCAGTGGGTGCCCATCCCTGCCCCTCTCCTTGGCCACAGCCTGCAGCAGCTGGGGTTCTGAGAAAGGGCTGAAGCACTGGGAATGACCAAAATAATCCAGATACACACACTGAAGGAGATCTTTTCAGTCAATGCTGCCTTTCAGAAAGCAGGATCATACCTCTATTTTCAGGCACTTTTTTACCCACATAAATCTTGCATATTTTAAAAGAATGTCCGCATGGAAAAGCATACAAATACTGTAAAAATTAAAAATTCTAAGGTATAAATTCTAACCATTAACTGACTTATTTTGTGCACACATGGGGTGATCCAGTTTTTACCTACATTTTGATTTGAATTGTTGCTTTTATCATTAGCTAAACAAGTAGCTATTTAGTATGTGCTTTTCTCATTTGACATATATTCCCATGGCCCATTTAGCACACACCTCTCATAAAATATTTTTTTTAATGGCTTTGTTCACCTTTCTGGAGAACATCTTGACTTAATGCAAGCTCAAGTGTATATGGAAAAGAACCACATCCCTGATACTGGGCCTCTGGGAACTAATATAAAAATTTCATAATTCAAGAGAAACTCAATTTTATGATTCCATGATTAGGCCACCCTTTAGAAGGAATGAATCTTGGGTTTCATCCCAGGTTCCTGACTATTGCTTGTATTTTATTCTATGGCTAGCTGCTATAAAACACAAATACAGCATTTCCAGTACCTTTTGTTCAAACTTTTAATTACTAATATTGAACATGGTAAGTTATGCAGGAAGTTTTTTAGGTGTTTGAATCTGTGACTTTGATTCCCATATTTTCTTTTCCATAAAATAAAATGTTACTTAAATTCTGCAGGGAGAACTTGGAATATTATATTGTGATGGCATGTCCAGTTAAGCATGGAAAATCCTCACTAAAAATTTACTGTGACTATATTTTTTTTAATCAGAACATAGGTCCCCTGTGGGGGACAACATGCTGATGGGACTGTTGAGGTTGTTATAATTTGTTTTTATCATTGTTGTTAGATGACTGTGACTATAGAAAGTGTGAGACTTGAAGCTGTAGGGGATGTTAAAAATGACAACTAATGTTGGCTGTATGCATGACCAATGGCTCTGTCTGTACGATGGTACACATAGGAGGATGACTATTTGTGTAGAGAAATAGAAATTTAAAAATAGCTGTTTATTAAGAAACAATAAATCCCGCTTGAATAGAATTTGTATATAAATATTTGGATAAATTTTTGATGCACCAAAAACCAAAATCTTTATGCATTGCATAATCTTTGCTAAAAAGCATCAACAGATAATTTTTGTGTGGGTTTGCAATCTGCATTGTGTAGGGATGAGTGAAGTCCTGGTTAATGTGGTTTACTGTATAACTGTAGAGCAGAGCAGGAGTGAGAAGGGAGACAAAGACCTCACAACAAACTGCAGAATATAGTAACAATTACTTCTTTTTTTCATGACACTTGAGTTACTACTTTTAGCTTTTCAAACATACGTAAAATTTGTTCCTCTGGAATGTATTTTCCTACAATATATGCATTTTCCAATACAAATTTCTTGAGGCTGACATGTTTCCAGTACTTTTTGGATGACTAGTAGTGGAACAAACAGTAGAGGGGCTGCCTTTAATGGAAAGGACTGAGCAATAGCTATAAGAGCCACAAATTAGACTGACTGCAGGAAAATTACATTCAACAAAATCCAGTGATTGCACTGAAATGATTCTTCACAAGGCTAAATTTAAAACAGATTTTTTAAGACTCAGGAAATAACTACAGAAGGATAAGAGCAAGTGTAGGAAAATTATTTCCAGCAATGTGCAATGATGACACCGAAAAGCAATTATTTGTGACAGTAAATTTTAAAGAACTTTTTTTTTTTGTTCAATTTGAGATTGAGGGGCCACTGAATGTCTCCTATACCATTCAATATTTGGTTCAAGATATTGTTTGGTGTTTCTGTCATTGCCCCAAAAAGGATGAGAGCTTTCCTTCCAAGCCCAAATTTCCGTGTATAATCTATTTAGCATTCAGTGATACCTCATTATCATCACAGACTAAATGAAGCAGAATGGTGTGGTAGCTTGGTTTGCATTATTCTACTCCATGATTCCTGACCCTAAACTTAATTCAGTTAAACATAGCTGAATTGTTACTGTCTTTTGCAAATTGGGTTGATGTCCTTGCCTTTCTTCTACCAGCACTGATTTAAAGCCATATTGTAAAACATTGTGTGGTGGGTTGACCCCAGCTGGGCACCAGGTGCTCACCAAAGCTCCTCTATCCCTCCCCTCCTTAGCTGGGCAGGGGAGAAAAAACATAACAAAAGGCTCCTGGCCTGAGAAAAGGACAGGGTGACATCACTCACTGGTTACTACCACAGGCAAAACAGATTTGACTTGGGGAACATAGAATAATTTATTACTGCGCAAATGAGTGTAGGATAATGAGAATTTATACCAACTCTTATAAAACCTGTCCCCTGATTTCCTGCACCCCCTCCCTTCCAGTGGCAGGGGATGGGGCTGCAGTCAGTTCATCTCACATTGTTTCTGATGGACAAGGGAAGCTCCCAGCTGCTTCTCACAGAACCCACCCCTGCAGCCCTCCCTCTACCAAAACAGTGTTAATCAATACCTCTAAACAGTGTTAATCAGCCCTCCCTCTACCTCTAAAACAGTGTTAACCAATAAATCCTTCATCCCCACAACCTGAAGATCACAAATACACACAAAACAGATCTCTTTATGTTTTTCATCAACAACAAGAAATAACCATAAATGTGGTACAAGCCTTCAGAGGAAAAAAGAAACAAAATTTATGTAGGTTATTGTAAATGTTAGAAGTAGATGTAAATTTAGAATTTAAATATTGGCTTGGGAATTCCATGAAGAAAAATCTCTGGCACATTATTATTATTATTATTATTATTATTATTATTATTATTATTATTATTATTATTATTTTCATTTTTGTTTCTGGAAAACTATAAAATTCCGAGACTTTAAAGTTACCATTCAGTCCTCAATGCACAATAGTAAAACACTACGGTAAGAAACATGTTAGCATATATTGTGTTTTGAATTTTCAAAGTACTCAATCTTCTCTTTTATCTTACATAGAAAATAATGGAAGATCCTATTAATATAAAAATTAATGCACAATATAAACTAGTCTTTTCCTATAAGTAAAAATTTTTTAAAAAACCTTAATTTGTGATATTTTAGTTTTAACATTTATCTTCAGCTGCTTTAATTTAGAGGTTGCCAAACCTGTATGTGTTGTGTATCTGAACCACCCTTCAGAAAGAGAGTCCCAGCTTTTTCTTCTACCTCAGTGATATTAAAAGAAGGAAATTCATTCATCCTTCTTAGACTCTAAATCCTCACAGCCAACTGACTATAACAAAAGCCAGCCTCCATTTTCTGTAAGAACAACATCCCAACAAAGATTCCTTTGCTGGTTTCTTTACTGAATAAAAAATAAGTAAGAATGGAGGGTAATGTTTTTCATATCCCCCTTCACTCTTCTGGTAAGTGGCAGAAAACTGTGAGAAAGAGCCTGGAAGAACACATTTCATGTTCATAATCACTCTTAAAGGAAGCAGTCTCCCTCTTTTGCTGAGCTGTTTTACCTTCAAGATCACACGACTCAGGAGAATAATGTTTCTTGCACCACTCGATAATTTACTTCCAGATAACTTTTGTAGCCCCAACATGTTTATCAGTAAAATATTTTTTATATTCATAAATGGAAAAGTTCTCTCTTAATTGTTTGCAGTCTGCTGCCTGTCTATTTAGAAACAAAATCAACACAAAATAAATGAAATGCATGAAAATACTGACTGTGGGAGGGAGATTACATCAATTTTCTTATTTGACTCATTCAAAAAAAAAAAAAAAGAAAATCAATTATCTGCCCAATTCCATAGAGAATCTTCAAGAGAAATTTTAGAATTGGTACAGGCCCTGGATCCTTCATCATATGAAAGGAAGCAATGTGTGCTGCTCATTTTAGCTTTCAAGCCTGCCTACAAGTCAGTAGGCAGATAAGTATTTCAGAATCTATGATTGAGATCTGCCCTTATAGTGTGCCTTCAACAAATTACAGAATATAAAAATAAATTTCCTGTAAAAGCACTGATGATCTCTTCTGGGAGAATCTCAAAGAGAGCCTTTTGCTTTTTCTACAAGAAGTATCTTCAATACCTTTGAAAACCACCACTCAAACTGCTTCAAAACATGTCTGTGAGCAAAAAAAAAAAAAAAAATTGAACTACTTACAGCATTTAAAAGGCTCCATTTCATTCAGATGTTGTGGTCTTTTATTACCTAAAAAAAGAACACAAGTGAATGCAAATAACATTGGATTTTTTAAATGACTGCATGCTTTTAAGAAAATCTGTCTTGGGTCCTTGGCCACTCAGTTTCAGATGGTTATAGTGGCAGAAGTTTGCTTTTTTTTTGCTTTGCTTTTAGCCAACAAACACAGCAACACAGGACATAAAAACCTATTTCTTGCCTAATCACTCTTGTGGGGAACTATCTTCAGAGTAACCAACTATCCTCTGGTATGGATCAGAAAAGAACTGCTTAACAGTACAGACACTGGACATGTATGAGGGGATATAGACGCATTCATCTGAGTGTCAAACCCATTTCTCTATTTCAAGCAAATGAATCTCAGGAAGTATGGCACATACGTAAGTGCTGAAATGGCAGAAAATCGGCACCATCAAGAGTAGTTGGGAATGTTTCCCAGGGAGAAGTCTTTTGGGAGAAAATCAGAATTTTCCTTCTCTTGAACAGCCTTAGAACTGATGCAGTCCAGATCAACTAATCTCTCTTGGCATCACAGATTGCAAACTGGCTTATGTGCTCTGCGTTCAAATCCAGATGCAAAGGTAAAACAGCTCTATTCCATGGTACATGTGAAAGCAGGGACTATTTCATAAACAGGTTAAATGCTTTACTCATATCTCTGTATATGACCAGAAGTAAAGTTTGTAAAAAAGGACTATGAAGCCACAAGCCCCAGTGATTTCATTTGCAATCACATTAATCCCCAGGTCTTTGCCTTGGTTCTTGATTTCAATGGAACTGTAAACCCTCCCCAGCAACATATGTGTAAAACATACTAGAATGGAAAGAAGTCCTGAAATCAGAACCCAGTGTTTGGGAAAGAGTGATAGCTGCTCACTCCAAATGAACAAGTGTATTCCCCTCTTCCCATGGGCAGGGGGATGTTCAGCCATCTCCAGGGGAGCAAGGCTCCATCACACACAATGGCTGCCTGAGAAGGCAAACCCATCACTCTGAACTACCCCACTTTCTTCTTCTTCCCCCAGCTTTAAGCACTGAATGTGAAGCCATAAGGTCTGGAATATCCTTTTGGTCAGATGGGGTTACCTGATCTGGCTGTGTCCCCTTCCAGCTCCTTGTGCACCCCCAGCCCCCTCACTGGAGCGGAAGTGTGAGGGGCAGAAAACACCTTGATGCATTGTCTGCACTGCTCAGCAATGACTAAAACATCCCTGTGGCATCAACACCACATTCACCACACATCCAAAACACAGTCCCATACTATCTACTAGGAAAATCAGCTCTATCGCAGCCAAATCACTTTATACAAGGAAAAAGTTTCGCTTAAGCGATAGTGTGTTGGAAAAATCTACACATACAGTTATACACGTATCTCACTGACAACATTAAAGACAATTGTATTTCTTTGTCATGCTAAGACTATGGATCTTAAGCCAAGGAGTGTGCAGCTCCAGTAACTTTTAATATTTTTCTCTGAGAATCACTGACTGCATTAAACATCCAGAAAAATTGCATTGAAAATTACATCATAATTATCTTTGAGAATTGTATGAGAATTTCTAAGCAAACAAGCCACACCACAATTAGAAGAAATAAGAGGAAATAAAATGAGGACACAGGCAGTTACCTCATGAACTTTTAAAATCAGCTATGAATTCATCCTGTCTCAGTAGCCCTCTAGGCTGTATTGTTCTCCCTCAGGTTTGTTCATGCAACCTAGTTTCCCAGAATGTGTACACCACAGCAGGGACTGTTTTGTAATCATTGCTTCCAGTTGAAAGTATTGTTGAATAGTTTTGTTTTATTGTTTCATGTGTTCCTGAGAATTGCACCACTCTGCTTTCTGCATTTCTTCCTTTTCTTCCTGTAATTAATGGGCAAAACTAAGCAAAACTAGAAGAAAAATAACATTTATTTGTGTATCACTACTGAGCTTGTTATCCATCCTTGTCTACCTGAATCTTTGAAATAAATGTATAATTTGCATATAAGAAATTAAAAGTATATTAAAGTTAATTGCAAGTTATGTCATTTGAGACAAATTTATAAATCCAAACAACAAAAACAAATAAACTGCATATTTGTCCAAAACTATCAGGGAGTACCAAATGAGCAATAGGTATTCATCCATGTCTCATTCTTACTACGCTCCTTAAAAAAATCAAGAGATTTGTGGACAAGATTGTATACAGCTATGAGATAAGGCACAAGTGATTACAGAAACTTCCCTCCTGACATTCCCAGGCCCTAGAGAAGCAGCATCCTCCCATCTCATGTGCACCACCTCATGTGGAGCATTGAAGAAGGCAGTGACCTAGTTGCTCTTCCCCAAACTGAGTCAGTGAGCTCCTTCCTCCTTCTTTACCAATGCATGAGCATGCTCCTCCATGTTTTGCCAGGATGCCCCAGGAAGGCACAGGACATGGCAGAATTCTGCTTTATTGGTAATTCTGTTGTAACGGACAAAAACTTTGAGTAAAAAGGTCAAATAGTATTGAGATTATTGAAGAGGAAGTTGCTGAAGCTAAAGCTAAATTCTCTGTCAAACAGTTTAGTCAGGAATTAAGAAAGTATATCTAAGTATTTCAAATCTATATATCTATATGGTTAAGAAAAAAGTATAAATTGCAAACATTTATTGTATTAGAATAATTAATTACTTCCATGCAGTAATTTTGTGTTGCTTTGAGTGTTGGACTAACAGTTGCTCTGTAAAAAAATACAGCTCAGTAGGCATTTTGGATAAATAGGCTATCCTGCAAAAATTTCCTTCCAGTATTGAACATCTATTGCAAAGCTTTAATAACTTCCTTTGTTGAGGAAAGCTTCAAATGTTTTGCATTTACTGAAAATTTAGGCATTTTAACTGTATCACAGTCCTCTGCTCTCTTCAATTCTCTTCAAAAAAGGCATCTTTTATCTGGTCTTTAACCTCAATTTCTTTTGTTGGTAACAAGTGTCTTCCACAGTACTGTAAAGTCAGTGTGAAGAGGCCTTAGTGACTTAAGAAGAACTGAGTGGAGCTTTAAAAGGCCCATTTCTGATTTTTCCCCTCAGTCTTTGGTCTTAGCGTTTCATCTTCCTGTCTCCAGATAATCAATGGTTCTAAATTTTTTTTTAGTGTTAGATACTACAATACAAAACCCATTGCTGTAGTAATTCAAAGCTAATTTACTACTAATACTTAAATTTGGGTTATTGTAACCTCAAAATCTAAAAAAACACATGTGCTAAAATTACACATTTATCCTAATTCTAAGATGAGACCTAAACTTTCTCATTAATTTTTTTCCAAAAATCCTAGAGGAAGACCCAAAGGGACAAGAATATTAGCTTTATCACAGTATTTTCTTCTGTTTTTGTCTGCAAATAGCAACACTTTTAATAATATAAATGTGTAAAAAAATTAACACTTTTGAAAGTGTTGTGGAATCCAGGAGACATGCAAGGAAAGAATATTTCATTTTTTAATTTTGATAAAAATAAGACATGTAATAAAAATGACTGATACTGCTTACTCATCACATAATATCACATATAAAGAACATATTCCCTGTACATGATGTCTTAATTTTTTCTAGTTAAGTAAATTAGAAAGTAAATCTGTGGTGTTTCAGACATGGAAATCTGGGAAATTTCCTTACTCTCTACTGGAATCTCTATACAAGAAATCTTGTCCCTTAATTCACTGAGTGCTTAATTTTGGAATTTTGGAATTTTCATGACTGTTGAAATTTTTTTTTACTCAATATTCGCACTCATATTTTTCTTTCCTAAAGATGAAAATAGATTTTTGCTTAAGTTGTCAATCTATCATTATTACTTGACTTGTTATAAACGCAGCCAGTAAGTAAGCACCACACAGCTGCTTGCTCACCCCATCGAGATGAGGAGGAATAATCAGAAGGGTGAAAGTGAGAAAATTAATGAGTTAAGATAAAGGCAGTTTAATAATTTAAATAAACTATAATGAAATAAAATTAAATAAGCCAAAGCGAAATAAAATAAAAACTGCAATAAAGAGGAATAGTTGCTCTGTTTTAAAAAATACAAAAGATAACAGTGGTACCACAGTGATTTTGCAGATATATATGTCCTGAAGTAAATAAGAGTTTAAAACCACCTACTCTTGGCTGATCTAGCAAGGTAGCCTGACCTAGTGAGATGGCTCTGTGTTGCAGTTTAAAAATTTCTGAGCTGATATGTCCTTTACAACTGGGATTTCTTTAATATTAGTATTGTAAACTTAATTTAAAAAAAAAAATTATTTGAGATTCTCAACAGATGTGAATCTAGGCCTTGGCACAAATGAGCATTTTATACTGAGGATATGACCTTAGTAGAGACCATACATAGATTTTTAAAAAAAAAAAAGGGTATACCTTCACTATAATTCTTGCCATAGCAGTACATTTCCTAAAAAGTAAGAGAAATAGAACACTGTAATTACTAAAAATTTTCTAGTCACTGGGATGGTACTTGAAAAGGCAGAAGAACATTTTCCATTACATATTCTCCTCTTCTAGTGGGAACAACTCTTTTTTAACAAGTCTTATCTAAAAAAATGCCATTAAAATAACTTTTTTGGACAAGATTTAAAAGCAGCCTTTTTCAATGATATAGAGTGGGAAGTAAGGGGAGTACAGAGAAAAGAGAACTATTATTAATAGGATTTAGTCATCCTGGCATATCTGTTTTATATTTGCGCTTTTAATAAACAAGGCACGATTTTTAAGATTTATCAATACTGTGGCTAATAGAAAAGCCTTTTTTTCTCCATTTCTCACTGCAAGATGATTTGATGAGAAGGAATTCCAACCATCAACTTTCTATAGTGACATTATCTTCATAAAATTTTTGCAAGTTTTATGAAAATAAATGATGTGTAATGGAAATTTAAGCTTGCTAAATTCAGGTTAGGTTGCAGTGGGTTGACTCTGGCTGCTAGCTGAGTTTACCTCCAGATGCTCTCTCACTCCATCTCTTCTAGAGAAATGGGAATAGG